AGACTGAAGACTCTATTAACTTTAAACTTAGGAGGACACATTTTTTAGGGGGACAAAAAAAAGAGCTCTAGGTTTTAATCTGATACTCAAAGGGGTATGGACCATAAAAACCATCACTACCACCATCCTCCACGCCTCCCGGGTGGTCATGATCTGCTCCTCTCTCAGGTTCAGCGCACAGGTGAGGGACAAATTTTCCTGTAGGAGCTACAGCTAGTGTTCAACCCACAGCAGACAGGTCGGAAGGGGTGAAGCTAAGAAGGGGCAGTGTGTTTTAGGATTAAAGGGGTCTTCCATGGAAGCTTCAGGACCGAGAAGGAGGACCACAGGTGAAACTTAAGGACTTGGTGTGGGACAGAGGTGGCCTGGAAAGGGAGAAGTGGGAGCAATTTCTCCAGAGACATTTGGTAGAAAGGCACCCTGCCCCCAGTCCAGTCCTGAATCCTATCTAGGCTGGGTGGAAGGTCTTTGGATGAACCATCTCATTCCTGGGTCCTGCTCTCACTAGACACAGGGCTGTTAGCAAACTACCATGTCACTTTCACTTCTGAGTCTTACCCACCACTGTGCACTGGTCTCATGAGATGACAAACACCTTTTTCTGGGAGAAAGGGTAAGGTAAGTTCTCATGGAGTTCAGGTTGACCTCCAACTTGCTATGTAGCTGAGGCTGGCCTTGAACTCCCAATCTTCCTGCCTTCACCTCTCGAGTGTTGGTGTTATGGTTCTGTGCCACCACAAACTGCTAAGATGCCTTAAAAAAAAACAAACAAACCTGAAATATGTGTGGTAAGCATGCATGTTTGCGTGCGTGTGTGTGTGTGTGTGTGTGTGTGTGTGTGTGTGTGTGTGTGTGTGTGCACATGTGTGTAGAGGCCTGAAGTTAGCACTCAATGTCTTCTCCATTCACCCTTTATTTATTGAGGCAAGGTCTCTTGCTGAACCTGGAACTCCCCAATTCTGGCTAGTCTAGCTAGCCTGGTTGCCCTTAGCGTATCTTCTCTCTGCCTCCTGAGTTCTGGAATTACAAGTGGCTACCATGCCTGCCTGGCTTCTATGTGTATGCTGGGGATTCGAACTCTGGTCCTCACACTTGCATGGCAAGTATTTTATCCACTGAGCCATCTCTCCAGACCCCTAAGATTCCTTTCTTACAGGGATCACTGTCACATTTAGGGACCCCAGGAGACTCTCCACAAACCTAAGCCTTAGCTGAGCACATATTATATGAAGGAGTCCACTGGGCTCCCACAAAACAATCCTAAGGAGGAAAGGAGACCAGCCACACACTTTCCACATAGCTCATATTCTTAGATTGTCTCCCTTGACCTTTAAATTCCTATAAAATATTTCTCCCCAGTTTAATGAATGATTCATTTTCCTCACTTTAAACATACAGGGAAGGCTCCATTCTAGACACGGAGGCCCCAGAACTGCATGAGACAGACTTCGGTGGACTCTTGTGAAGCATATATGTTTGGAATCAGGGGAAAGACAGCAAACTAAAAGTGGACAATTTCAGATGCTAGTAAATGCTGTAAAGAGAATAAAACAGGGCGATCTAACCGTGGTGTGTGTGGGGGGATAATAAATTAGTGGGAGGATACTATGAGAATGGCTGAGAAACACAGACTACAAATGAATAGCCAGTACAAAGGCCCCGAGGCACGAAGAAGCCTGACACGTTCAAGGGACGGAGAGGAAGTCAGTGTGGCTCCAAGGGAGGGACACAGAGACAAGATAAGAGAGTAAGCCAGAGAGGCTATGTCAGGAAGTCCAGGTAATAGTGGACTGGGAATGTTGTTTGAATATTGTATTTATTCATAATGTGTACGGACGTTTTGCCTGCATGGATACCTACCCACCATGTGCACACAGTGCCCACAGAGACCAGAAGAGAGGGCGTGGGATGGCCTAGGACTGGAGTTACAGTGAGTTGTGAGCAGTCACATGGGTGCTGGGAATTGAACCTGCGTCTTCCCAAAGAGCCGCCAGTGCTCTTCATCACTGAACCATCTCCCCAGTCCTCTGGGAATTCTATTTGAAGAGCAGCAGGTCTTGAAGGAAGAAAGTGACACAATGGAATTCTGGGTATGGGGGAAAGAATGAACCAGAGCATCTGGGCTGAGAGAAGGCTAGAAAGTCAGCTCAGGAGATGCCACCGTTACCAACTTGCATACAAAACCAAGACTTACTTCCACGGTGTTAAATTTTCCACATTACTGTATGACGCTACACCAGACTCTCCCATCTGATGACGTGGGGCTCCCACTGTTCCCGAGACGGCAGCTGTGCCCTCTGCGGCCATCAGGAGAGGATGGCTGGTAGCAGTTCCACCAGAACAATGGCACAGCCTGTATGCAAACATGCTTTGTGCTTGTCTGGCAACAGTCAACCATGGGTGAGTGTCCAGTGTGTGCCAGGCACTTGGAAAGGTGTTCTACAGTATTAAGAACACATTATTAGAGCTGATGTGTAATTAAAAAACAAAAGATAATAGGCCAGCCCTTGTTCCTCAAAGACAGTAGACCAGCCAAGGTACCAGTCCCTTTACCATGCAATTTTCACTCAAAACTTGCATCAAAGCCGGGCGGTGGTGGCGCACGCCTTTAATCCCAGCACTCGGGAGGCAGAGCCAGGCGGATCTCTGTGGGTTCGAGGCCAGCCTGGGCTACCAAGTGAGTTCCAGGACAGGCGCAAAGCTACACAGAGAAACCCTGTCTCGAAAAACCAAAAAAAAAAAAAAAACTTGCATCAAGCCAAACACTCTTAAACATCTTTGAAGAGAGAGAAGAAATACAGCAAGAATACAGTCCGCAGGATTTGGAGGAAGTGGGACATTGTAAGTAATGAGATTTGACCCTAAGGTCAGCTTCAAGCCTGGAATGTCTCAGGCAACTGAACCCTGAGTTACATTGTTTCCACAACGCTTTCTCTTCCCATCCGGCCCTAAACTATGTGCAGAAATGGTAACCACTTGAGGCATGTTCAATCAGGAAGGCAAGTTCCCCAGTGGCCCTCACTACCTGCATTCATTCAGCCAATACTCCTAGAAAAGGACTAAGAACCTACCTCCTCTGACTCTGCTTTCTGGCCTTGACTTCTGACCTCCAACCTCGGAATGCTTAGTTAAAGGTGTGCAGTACCATGACTTGCTTTTGAAAAGAACTATTAGGACTCAATTTTGTCTCCACATCCCCAGACTGGAACATTCTATTCTGGAAAGAGCAAAGTAACATGGGAAAGCTATGAGAGAGAGAGAGAGAGAGAGAGAGAGAGAGAGAGAGAGAGAGACAGAGAGAGAGAGAGAGACAGAGAGAGAGAGAGAGACAGAGAGAGACACACAGAGAGAGACACACAGAGAGAAAGACAGAGAGAGAGAGAGAGAGAGAGAGAGAGAGAGAGAGAGAGAGAGAGAGAGAGAGAGAGATCAACAGGTAGAGGAAAAGAGAAAAAATAAAGTATTTCTGTGACTGGAAGACACTGACTATCTGATAAGTCGTCCCCCCTCCCCCAAGAATCTGGGGACTCTTTCAACAGGACTGCCACAGAAGCTCAGTACACATGTGCTGGAAGGGGGACTCGATTCCACAGGGAGCCACATGCCCCAATAAGACAACTTCTGTCCTACATTGGGTTGACAAACCAGTTGAGAACACCTCTCCCCTAAATTCATGTCCACTTGGGACCTGAGAATGTGAACTTACTTGAAAGTCATATCCTGTCAGAGGTACCAGTTGAAGGACAGTTGTGTCCTACCGGGTTAGGGTGGGCTCCTATGAGAAAACGGACACAGACCCTCAGGCAGACCATATGAGATGACACCGAGGCAGACTGTGAGGAAGCTAGGAGCACTCAGAACGCTGAGGCAACAGGGCCAGGAATTTGAGAACGGCTTGGACCATACAGTAGGCAGACAGCTAGTCTGAGCATGTTGCACACCAAGACCCTGTCTCAAAAACAAGTTGGAAAGGTCATCTCTGGACCCTTCCAACATCAGAGAATACATTGTTGCTGCAGGATGTCCTCCAGCTTCCAGTACTTTGTTACAGTAGCTCTACTTCCATAGGCACAGCAAGTGTCCAAACGACTCTTCCCAGCCTGGTATAAGAAGGAAGAAACACAGAGAAGCCTCCAGTCCACTGGGCTTTTCCAGCCTCCCAGTGGCCACCAGCAGCCTGGGGAGGGGAGAGGAGCCAGGATCATGTTTCAGGCATCCGTACCTTCTACCACAGAAAGCCAACCAGCAGGGGAATTTCTGTTCTCTCCCTTGGCTTTCTAGCTTGCAACCTCTTCCAGTTGGTGTTTCTTTTCTTTCTCTTGTTTTGTGACAAGGTGTCACTATGTAGCCCCCAGTCCTTCCTGGAATTCACCATGATGACTCCACTGGCCTTGAACTTGTAGGATCCTCCCACTTCCTCCAGGCCTGGCTTTTAAATCCCAATCAGTTCCTACCTTAACAATGCATTCTCATCAACTACCTAATATTTCTAACTTTACTACTTTTATATAAATTTATTTAGGCATCTGCTTTACCACTGAGCTAGGCACCAGCCTAATAATTTTATCTTAAAAGCCATTGCTACATCATTATTACAATAAAAGGAAAAATCAGCATCATGTATGGCATGCAGACCTGGTCTATTATGTGTCTTTGAACTCCACACTGAAATGAGTACACAGTATTTTTTTTTAAAAGTCCATTCTTGTACCATTTAAAGTAATCTCCGGAGGTAAATCCAATAAGATAAGATAACTATTCTCCATTTAGTTGCCTGGAACTCTGCTCTCTTAAAAAAAAACGACTTCAAGTTCTTGGATCTCCAGGTCCTCTCCCTGGAGGAAGATCACACTCCCCCATGAAGGTAAAAGGGCCGGCGCACAAATAGGCACCAAGAGTTCCGAGTTCCCACGCGGGGCATCCTGAAAACACGTACACGAGAGCGAAAGTAATTCTGAATACCCAGCCCTTGCGAGTGACAAGGGCTGGGAGGGACTGACCTTTTCGCGTAGGGTACAGTGGACGTCCGAGGCGACGCGCCCTTCCCACCACGGCTCATCCATCACCGCCGCAGATCCGAGGCTACCGGGACCTCTGGGCGCACCCTACGAGGACACAGGGAGCTTCAGCAGCCGGAGACACTTTCCCCACCCCGCCTTCGGTCACCCTTATCCTAGTCCGTCCCTGTCCCCGTCCTGGACGGGCGCCCCCCCCCCCCTGCTCTGCGGAACCGGTGGTCGCCTCCTGTCCTGAAAAGAGAGCAGTGTACCCTCCCCTCTCTCCGCCCGCCCAACCTGGGGCGATCTAGAACTGTGTGCAACAACTTGCAGAATTTCCAATGTCCCCTTCTGCAAAAGTTGCGAAGTTGCTGGCCGCAGTAGCTCGCCCGGGGCTGACTGGGTCACCAGCTCTGAGTCCCCAACTCCTCCCCCGCCGCCCAGCCTTTGTCCTGCTCGCACATCCTGCCCTCGAGCCGGGGCGAGACTCACGCATCGCTGTCCCCGCGTGGGGGGCCGCGGGTGGCGGGTCCCTCCCCGCACCGGGAGCGCTGTGCCCTCCGGCGGCCGTCCGGCCCTTGACCTCGCGTGCTCACGACCGGCGCCTCCGCAGCCCGTCCAGCCCGGCCACCGGCGCGCCCCTGCGTGCGCTCGGTCCCGCCGCGGCTCGCAGTTCGGGCCGCCGGGGGCCTCCCTCCTTCGCTCGGGGAATTGGGGGCCGGGCCTCGCGCATGCGCCGCCGGCGCCCCGCGCCCCGCGGGGCGGGGGGCTGGGAATGGCAGTCTTTCTTTCCCCAGCGCTGGGCTGAGCTTCCTGCCCACCCTCCTCCCTCGCCCAGGAGGAAAGCTAGGCTTCACCTTCCCCGAGACTCAAGGCGGGGAGGGTCCCCAATCACCCCTCCGGCTTGATCCCGGGGCGGGGGGAAAAGGCGCCACCTGCGCACGCCGCGCGTGGAACCAGCGGCCGGGACGCCCCCAGAAAGTTCTGACTTCCGCATGCGCTGCTCCTGCCAACCTGCCGGCGCTTCCACCTGTCTTTCTTTCTTTTCAGCCTGTCCTGCGATGGGGAGGTAGATTTCCAAACAATTCCCACAGGAGCCCCAGAAAAGCCACCCTTGGTTACGCACGAGTTCCTCCTTATAAAGGGGGCTCAGTGAGTATTTTATTGTGCTCTTAAGCAATGCATCCATGCCGAGCATGGCAAGGAAACAGTCCTTATGGCGGGTTGCGGGATAGAAGCCCTTTTAATACACTTGTTTTCAGAACGGTATTTTCTGGAGTCAGCCGTATAATGGCATAGCATCCCGCTGTGCTGATTTTTGTGACCCCCTTTGGTTATTCCACTAATTTGGAATCAAATCCACCACCTACCTGGGTGTTTTTGCCCAGTTCCGCAACCACTTAGAGCTGGGCTTCAGGTAATGGGGGCGGGGGATACAAATTGCAATAACCTGCTGAGGATACATTATGATTAAATGAGAAAACGCACGAAAGAAGATAACCACCAGGCCCGTTAGAATGCGAACAGTCAATAAATAATTACTACGAGAAAGACTTTAGTTTCTGCCTAGTTTTCTACAAGTAAGAAAACTTTTTTTTTAATCTTTTTTCTTTTTCGAGACAGGCTTTCTCTGTGTAGCCCTGGTGGTCCTGGAACTCACTCTGTAGACCAGGTTAGCCCAGAGCTCAGAGATCCGCCTGCCTCAGCCCCCTGAGTGCTAGGATCAAAGGCGTTTGCTACCACTGCCCAGCTACAAGTAAAAATTTACTGGTTAAAAATATAATTCAGTTTTGAAAGCTTACCATAGTGGTGCATGCCTGCAATATTAGCACTCAGAAGACTGCAGTTTAAGAACTAGGAGTTCGGCCGGGCGGTGGTGGTGCACGCCTTTAATCCCAGCACTCGGGAGGCAGAGCCAGGCGGATCTCTGTGAGTTCGAGGCCAGCCTGGGCTACCAAGTGAGTTCCAGGACAGGCGCAAAGCTACACAGAGAAACCCTGTCTCGAAAAACCAAAAAAAAAAAAAAAAAAAGAAAGAAAAAGAACTAGGAGTTCAAGGCCAGCCTGGGTTACACAGAAGTTCAAAACCTGTCCAGGATATATGAGATTTAAAAAAAAAAAAAAAAAAAAAGCTTGCACTGAAAAAAGTTTTAGCATTTATGAGCCCTCATAAAAATAAAAAATACTCGGGATTAAACGAATGTGATATATGTTCATGAATGAATGCGTATCTTTAGACCAATGTGTAAAAACCCTAACACCTCCATGTAGAAATGGATGGAGTTCATGAATAGGTGTGCCAGCAAAGAAAAAAATTCACAAGGACAATATGCATGCCCACAGTCACTAACAAACACAAGGTTTAAAAACTGGAGCATATCTTTATCAAGGTTGTTTTTGTGTTTCTTAAGTTTTTAGGTTAGCACGAAAAGGAATGGCATTTCTCACCTATGTGTCATTATACTTAGTTCTCAATCGTTACCCTCCCCTACTGTCAAGGGTTTATTTTTTAGCACAAGACTCCTAAGGTTGGTAAATACACAGTGTTCTAGGGAATGCAGATGCCATCTTTCTGAAAAACAGCATAGATTGAAAAGTTTAAAAGTATCATTTGATCCAACTATTCCACCTCTGTGAGTGTGAGGCCAGGCTGAGTTCTAGGCCAGCCAAGGCTACAGAGTGAGACCTTATCTCAAAAAACAAAACACTCTCCCCCTCCCAACACACACACACACACACACACACACACACACACACACACACACACACACAGTGGTAAAGTGTTTGTACAAGAAACTAGCTAAGAATGACCTGCTTATAAAGGTATTTTTTTTTTATGAACGACTATGTAATGAGTCAGGGTAGGGTAATATACACAAAATATGTAGTAATCAGGAGGATAGAATATGGCTTTACTACTTTCGTACATATTTATTCGCACACAAAAGAAATTGGAAAATATCCATAGAAGTATTGAGTATAACCAGAGTGATACTTATGAGGGAGGGGAGGGGAAGGAGCTGGGCTAGCTTTTGAACCTAGGGATTTGCACATCCTAAGCAGGCACTCTCTACCTCTTCAGTCCTGGAAATCTTTAATTTACCCCCTGCCAGTATATCTGTGTTTTCTAAATCTCCCACAAGAAACACATACTGCTTTCATAACTACAAAAAAAAAATGTGAATGTTATTTTCAATACCTATGTGCTACATTTTCGGGGCGGGGGCTCCCCTGAACAACAGTTTGCGGTGTTGTTTGTGTTGTGCTCACTTTTTTTTTGAAATCATATTATTTCGTTTTCAGTAATCCCCCTATTCTGGGTATATGGAAAGAAGAAAGGCCTAGATTCTTCATTAGTTTATTGTCTCCCTTTCCTAAACGTCAGCTATGAGTTTATCAAGGCTGCTGATAACAGAAAGAGAAACACACACTTTGGGCTTTTCTCTAGAGGCTGTTTTAAGAGGAGTCTAAACACAGTCTCCCAGCCCTCTTTTGTGTATCCTCATTTTCCCACTATCTCTGAAGAGTAAAAACACATTGCACCAATAAACTCATGCTTTTAGAGGTTGGTCACTGGCCACAGGTGCCCTCAGCAGAGGCGATTTCCTGTGCTGGTCGCTGGGAAACAATGTAGCTGGAGTTACTTCTCCCAGTCAGGCCAAAAGGTTTGGATCATTCAAAAAACTAAACTTTTATTAAGTGCTTATTATAGAGCAATGACCACTTCTCCACCCTCCACCTCAAAAGCTGACCGTTAAGGAATCAAAGGTTTGAAGTAAAGACATTCTAGCTACCTTCCAACTTCCTATGTATAAAGTGAGAAAAAGAAAATCTCTGCTGCCCATTACAATCTTACTTAGAGGCAAATGAGTCTAGTATTTCCACCATGTTATTATTGACTGTTAACTCTGCAATAAACTTGCCCTCTCCTTCCTCCATCTGCCCCTTTCATGTGATACAAGCTCGCCCTGGTCCCAGGCCCCATTCTATTGCTAAGGATAGCCGTTAGCTTGTCTCCTTCAAAAGTGACTGGTGGGGATCGAACGCAAGAGAGATGGCTTGGTGGTTAGGAGTACTTGCTGCTCTTGCAGAAGACTGGAGTTCAGTTCTCAGAGCACATGAGAGGCAGCTCACAGCTCCCTGTAACTCCAGCTCCGGGGGACCCAATAGCCCTCTGATGCCGCCTTCTTTTTGGGTACCTGCACAAAATTGTGTGTGTTTGTGCATGCACAAAACCCCGAGTTCAATCCCTGGAACCACACTAACCAGTTGTGGTGGCACACACTTGTAATCCCAGCACTCAGGAGGCAGAGACAGGAGTATCAGAAGTTCAGCTACGTAGTGAGTTCAAGGCCAGCCTGGGTTAGAGTCTGCTTTTTTCTCCTCAAAAGTGCCTGGTGATATGGGCACAGGGTATGTTGTGCTCAGTTGTCGGGGACCCCCAAAAGACCACCATGGAGACCAAATCCCATGTGTAAAAGCAAAGAGGCTTTGTTTTCAAGCTCCAGGGCTTGGTCCCTCTGTCTCTCTGATGCAGTGGTGAGAGCAGAGAGCCCTGAGCTCAGGCCAGGTAGAGTTTTTATCACAGCAGAGGTTGGGGTGAGGGGATTTCCAGGGTTCAGGACACTGACTGGCTGACATTTGTCTAGGGGTATCTATAAAACAGAAATAGGTGTGTGCTAGATTCAGGGACATCTGGCCACCTTATCTAATGGTTGGAATATTGGGGATGTCAAGTACTCCCCCTTAGATGCTGGCCCTCCCTGGGTGGGATCAGATTATGGCTTTTCCTGGGTCTGGATGTTGCCTGCCAGTAAGCCTGTCACAGAAGCTGTGTCTGGGCCTCGAAGTCTGTCATAGCAGCTGTGTGGTCAAGCTGTTTTGGGGCCCCTCTACAGTGTACACTCCTGTAATCTCATTAGTCATCAGGTTGAGGCAGGAGGATTGCTATAAGTTTGAGAACAGCTTGAGACAGTTAGCAAGTAAAGGCCAACTAGGGATATGTAACAAGACCTTATCTTACCTTCCTCTATTCTCCAAACACCACACACAGATGCGCACGCACACACACACACACACACACACACACACACACACACACACACACAAGCACACACATGCATGCAGACCAACCTTAGTTTACCAACGTAGAGCTTATTTCTTATTTCTCCCTTTACACCAATGGAGCATGCTATTCACATCCTTCTGCCCCTGTTCTTTCATGGCCGTGGCCCTAGAGCTGCATGGTACCCTAGTGTCCCACAGTGTGGATCCATCTTCATGGGCATTTTCTTTTGCTGGACACCATGAGTGTTCGTAGCTCTTTGCTGCCATGTCCACGCTGTAGAAAATATCCTGGGCCAGTAATGGAATGACTCAATTCCTCCAATACAGCTTCTCGGGGGAAGATGAAGTATATACCTTGAGTAGTGTTTCCTCCGGGTCTGAGGAGTTCATACTGCTTTATTTAGAACCCAAACTGTGAAGCCTGGCTGTGTTAGTAGGGCTGAAGGAAGACACCTGCCTTGTTACCACTTTGGTCTTTAACCAAAACCAAGCAACCCTTTCAAACTGTTTTTAGCCATGCGGTCCAAGGAACCAAGAGTATTTGCCAAATCTTTTAACGATCCTGGCCTAGATAATAATTGTGCAAATTAAGCTCAGCAATCAAAGAGGAATCATAAAAAAAGTGGTATTTTGCTTCACAAACTCTAAGACATTTGCAAAGCTGGTCCACATGACCACACATTCCCCCTTTCTTTGTTTGCTTTGTTTTCTTGTTTTTCAAGACAGGATTTCTCTGTGTAACAGTCCTATTCTTGGAACTTGCTTTGTAGACAGGCCACACTGGCCTTGAACTCATAGAGATTTGCCTGCCTCCACCTCCCAAGAGCTATGATTAAAGGTATGTGCCACCACTAC